CTCTGACCCTCCCCCTCTCTCATTCTCTCTCTCAAATAAATAAATAAAATCTTTAAAAAAAAAAAAAAAGAAAGAAGCCCAAAGCCCCAGCAGATGTTCTGTTGCCACCATGAGGGGGAGCGAAATGCAGGGCTGACCCTGAAGCACAGAAAGCAGGATGGGAAGACAGAGAAACTGCACTGGGGTAGCCCTGAGCCACTGAGTCACACCGATCTGAAAGTCACCCCTGCACTTCCAACTGCGACACGGCGGATTTGCAGAACTGTGCCTAGCACAACTGGGTGTGTTCCCCGACCACGAGGGTGTGGCACTAGATACACTGGAGAGTTCACAAACACGTGGAAACTGAACAACAGCCAACAGGGCAGAGAAGAAATTGAAAGGGAAATCAGAAAACGTCTTGAGTTCAGCTAGGTGAGTCGGATTTCTAGAACTTGCTCTGAACACTTCCTGAGAGACTATACCTCCCACCTCCACCCTTCTGTCCCCAGTTGTCACCGGGTGGGCATGGAAGGCCAAGGTGCCCAAGGCGGCTCGTCCTCCATGCTCTCATCTGCAGCGGGGCAGAACACGTGCTTTGGTGATTATGAGCTGCAGGAACTTGAAAAAGAGCAAATCCGGGGAGAGGCTTTCCCCCACCCCCACTCTCCACACTCATTCTGCTTCTGCAGGGAACACACATTAGCAACCAAAGGAACAGTTTGCCCATCCCAGTTGTTTTCCATCAAGTACTTGAAGAAATGAGGGAGGACGATTCAGCCTGCCCCCAACTGATGACATGTTTAAGCGTCCAAAGGATGAAGGTTGTAAACTGAGAGACAGAGTTGAGAAAAAACAGAGAATTAGAGATGATAGATAGATGATTGATAGATAGATAATAGAAATATGATAGAGAAAATAGATGATAGAGATAATTAGTAGATGATAGAGATAACAGATTGGTGATAGAGATAATCGATAGATAAATAGACAGATGATAGAGATAATTGATAGGTAGGTAGATATAATAGAAGAATGGATGGATAGATGATTGATAGATGATAGAGGTAATTGATAGATAGATAGAAGGATGGATGGATAGATGACAGATTGATAGATGATAGAGATAATTGATAGATATAATGGATGGATGGATAGATGATAGATTGATAGATGATAGAGATAACTGATAGATATAATAGAAAGATGGATGGATAGATGATACATTGATAGATGATAGAGATAACTGATAGACAGATATGATAGATAGAAATGAAAGATAATTGAAAATTACCTAGCTAAGTAACAATATAGGGCCTTAATCGTAACTTCCTCACAGAATTTTGTGAAGATTAAGTGGCTTCATATTTAAAGTAGTTAGAACAGTGCCTGCTAATTAGGGAGTACTCAAAAATGGGAGATATGGCTAGGTAGCTACATAGTTAGATATCTACATGGATGGGTGGCCAGACAGATAAAACGACAGGAAGAAAAAGACACAGAGGGTCAGAGAGGACATTTGCATCTAAGATTAGATTCACGCTGCTCCTCAGAGTTCAGGGAATGGGACAAACGTTTGCAGAGCAATGTTAACTGGATGACAGAAATGAAAGCTTCTGTATCAGACCTTCACTCTATGCCAGGCATCTGTATCTGGATCTCACTTAATCTGAGAAACAGCCCTATAAAACGGGTACTATACAATCTCATTTTAGAGGGCGAAATGTAGGTTCTGAGAGCTGAAGTAACATGCCCAGGATCACACATCTCCCAGGGCACAGAGGCAAGCTTCGACCAGACTGGCTGGCTCTTTGGCGGGCACCCCTAACCACTGCGTTAGGCATGCATTCAATCATATGAAGCAGGCAATGAGCATCGCAGTACATAAATATTCCTACACGTCTGACTAATTCTTCTTTTCTAAATTTATTTTTGAGAGAGAGCACGAGCAGGGGGGAGGGGCAGAGGGAGAGAGAGAATCTCAAGTAGACTCCCTGCCAAGTGCGGAGCCTGATGCGGGGCTCAATCCCACGACCCTGAGATCATGACCTGAGCCGAAATCAAGAGTCGGATGCTTAACTACCTGAACCATCCAGGCGCCCCATGTCTGATTAATTCTTTAGTCTCAAATCCTAGAAGAAAGGTAACTCAGTCAAAAGTTATACACATTTTGAGGTTCTTGAGGTCTATTTCCCAGCTGTCTTTCAGCCAGAGAGCACAAGTCTGTGGTTCCTGCAGCACCACAGGGAGTACCCATCTCATCCAAGAGTTGCAGTTGTCGGGGGAGGTTATGGAGAGCGTTGGGCAGCACTAAGCACCGATGTTGCAGGAGAAAGACTTACCTGAATTACTGACCCAGGATTCACTGAATGCTCAGATTTTCAAGGGGGTTGGGCTGGTGAGGCTGGAATCGTGATATCAGAAGGATCAAGATGCTGAAATGACAGGATAGGAATCTGGGGTCAGAAAGGGGAATTTCAGAGTGGACTGCCTTAAGAATGTTTCTGTGCAAAGCCGAGGAGAGCCAGAACAGAGTGGGGCCAGTGGCCGTCACGGTGTCGAGGGCACAGACTCGGGTGGTGTGGCTGACTCATGGGCCAGCGTCACCAGAGATGACCGACAAAAGCAGGTGTGGGGAAAGGTGGAAAAGCACGTCTTTGCCTTCAAAAGGTGAGTAGATATCAAGTTGCAGAAAATTTTAGGAGTGCAGAAGATGTGTCAGCCTCCCTTGATTCTGAATCGGAGGGCGTGTGGAAAATGGTGCAGGGGTGGTTTCACAGGAGAGGATGGGCTCCTTTGTGTTAGTGGGGTGGGCTGTGTCTCTCTAGCTTCTGCTCTCCTTGTAGGGGCATGGATAATATTAGTGGAATTGAAAAGCGGGTAGCATACTGACAGCAATGGACAGAGAGAGAGCTGCTTTGGGCTCTGCCTGGAATGCTCCCGCCAGATATTACATGGATGGCTCCCTTCCTTCAGAGTCTGCAACACAGTAGACTGAAAAATAGGGTGAATAAAATAAAATGAGCTAAAAGATGATAAAGAAGATGGGGCAAGACCTTGACATGGCCATGGTGGGCTGTGTCTTTCTTGTTAATAACTCTGGTTACCATGATGGTTTGAGGTGTATCACGGAGAAAGGGACTTCTTTCTAAATATACATTCAAATTTTACCCCTTTTGAGCTAGGCAGGCTCTACAAACCCATGCTCACCCCCTATGTAGTCCAGCAATTTGGCATTCATAAAACCCTCCTAAGGTCTAAAAATTTAGACCCATGTTTATCTTTTCAATCTTACCAAGAAATCCCTTACATCGCACAACAAAGCAGTGAACTGGAAGTCCTTGTACAGTTTAGAAACAGTCTTGCATGAAAGCTTTTTTTCTCCTTCCCATCTGAGAAAGGAGGTAAAAATGGGTTTGGGGGAGTCGGGTCCTATGCATCCTTCCTTCCTGGAGCTCAGCTTTGAGCAATCGCCTCTGTCCATTGTGCTGAATATTCCAAGTGTCCCTCAACCAGTTCTTCATTATCTTGGATTGAAATTAAGGGATTACAATTAATTCTCTAAAGGACATCGTAATGCTATCGCTTGGGGTTGGGGACTTTTTTCTTTTTAAGATTTTATTTCTATTTATTTGAGAGAGAGAGAGCACACGTGAGTGGGGGGAGGGTCAAAGGGAGAGGGGAAGCAGACCCCCCACCGAGCATGGAGCCCAACTCAGGGCTCAATCTCACAACCCTAAAATCATGACCTGAGCCGAAACCAAGAGTCGGACACCCAGCCGACTGAGCCACCCAGGTGCCTAAGACCCCATTCCCTTTCCTGCCCATAACCCAAAGATCACTGCTGGTCCAACACCTCTGGGTTCCCCACTCCTGTGTCCACAACTTCATCCCACCCCCACACCCCCGGAAGGAAGGACTCAGTCATCCTGACTCTCTCCAACATCCTCACATTTCACTGCCCTGCCATGTAGTTTTGGGACGGTCACACTCCATCACTTCACTGGTGAGCTGAGGAATCAGGTCAGATGTTGCAAAGGGGTAGCCCCAACCAGACCCTTGAGCATGCTTTGGGTGTGTCAGCTTGTCTGCTTTGTTTTTTTTTTTTTTTTCATCTGTTTTGGTTCCTCTGCAGTGTTTTGGAAGAATTGCAGGCTGAGTCACCGGTGTGTAGAGTTCAGGAATTCCACATAAAGATCTGGATCTCTGGCTTCTCTCAATGTGTTGGAGGCCTGTAAACACTGGGTCCAAGTCTCCAGTGGGCAGCCACCAGCCGGGGCTGAGGAGCAGCTTTTGATAGAGTGTGTTCTTGCCAGCTCACCAAAGACCTCACCAGTCCCTATCAGGTACCTCTAGCTCCTTCACCTGTTTCTGCAACCTCTTCGGACCCCTTGTCATTGTCATTTGGAACCCCCTGCCCTAGAAGCCCTCTGATGCTCAAGATTAAAAGATGAATCTGAGACTTTCCCTTGGCTCTGTGATGGGAAGGGGGCATATGCAGTGGCTTTTCACTAGCTCCCCGCCCTGGAATTCAGCACTTCTGATGCCTTTGTGTCCTGGCATCTCTCATTCCCGGGGCTGCTTGGTGTTTCTTCCAAGTAAGAAAGGGACATGGAATGAGAGCTTCAGGACCAGATGTGCCCGAGTTTGAATCCCAGCTTTGCCACTTCCTAAGTAGCCAACTGTCAATTTCCTCATCTTTAGAAATTATTTTTTAAAAAAATAATAAAAATAGGGGCACCTGGGTGGCTCAGTTGGTTGAGCGTCTGCCTTGGGCTCAGGTCATGATCCCAGGGTCCTGGGATTGAGCCCCACTTCAGGCTCCCTGATCAGCGGGGAGTCTGCTTCTCCCTCGGCTACTCTCTCTGTCAAGTAAATAAATAAAATCTTTAATAATAATAATATCTTCACGGAGTTGTTATGAGAACAATTACGTATTGAGACTCTGCGTCGTAAGGAAGCAGGCTAGGAAGGGACCCACTGTGGAAAGGTGCCTTCATCAAATATCATAATCATATTTATAGTAATCACAGGCACTAACTAGACTCCACATGATGTGCTAAGGACATTGTGCGCCTGATCTCACTGAATCCTCCTGATAACCCTATGCGGTAGATATTACCCTCACTGAACCAATGACAAACACAGAGGCTCAGAGAGGTTAAGTAATTTTCCCAAGATTGCACAGCTAGTAAATAACCAGATCCAAACCAGGCATTTGGACTCTGGAGCCTATTTGCTTAACCATCACACAGCCATGTCCCAAAGTACTACTAATCCCCGTTTGCATGACTGAAGAAGAGGGGACATGGTTGGATCCAAGGTCACAAGTAAGGACGTGGAAGACACTTTGTACTTTTCCCAGAAGGGATTCATCCTCACCTGCATCTTATCGACTCTGAGCAACGCCTCTGAGTCTCCTGCTTTCATCCTCTCCCCCCTCCTCCACCTGTTTTCCACACGACAGCGAAAATATTGCATTTAAAATACAAACAGGATAAAGCAGTGCCTACCCCAAGCCTTCCAGTGGCTTCCCAGCGTGCTGAAAATATAATTAAGCTCTCACATCTGCCCAGACCTTCACCTTCATGACTCATCTTCCTCTCCCTCCTCGCTCCAGCCTCACTGGCCTCCTCCCAGCACCAGGCCTTCTCTGCCCCAGGGCCTTGGATCTGGTTGTTCCCTCTACTGTCCTGTCTTCCCCAGGCCTCACCCAAGCCTCTCCTCCGACCTTCCTGACTCTCCAGTCTCCACTGTCTGCCCCCAAACATGCCCTGGACTGTTCGTATCCACTGAGCTGGACACGGACTCGTTCACTGCTGTTTCCAAGGGCCACTTGATACCAGACCTGGCCACAGCAGGTGCTCATGAGATTTCTGAACAAATGGAGTTTTTACCAGAGGGATTGCACTGGGGGCCCCACCTCTTCCCACATCCAAACCGTTTACAATGAGACTCTACGACTTCCTCATCAGGACATGGGGGCTTTCTCCTCACCCTTGGATACGGGCTGGCCTTGCAGCTTGCTTTGGCTAAGAAGACCTGGCGGAAGTAAGAGGTGCTGTCTTCAAGCCTACGCCCCACGAGGTCTTGCTCATTTCTGCTCTGCTTGCTCACTCTCGAAACCCTGCCACTGTGGTGAGAAAAGGCCCAGACTCGTCTGAGAATGGGCACCTTGTCTTAGGTTGATTTTGCTTGCCGATAGCTAACCCCCATCTCTTTCCTCGTCTCTTCCTCACACCCTCGTGCTGTCACCGGGAGCCGGGAAGGAAGCTTTTAGCAAGGGGTGATGAAGATGAAGGAAGCAGCCTCAGGGTGTATTTTGGAAGTGAAATCAGAATGGATTCAGGGAACCAGTGAGCATGCACCGGCCGTAGAGACGACGATGAGGAGGGACCGGGGCACTCCTGTGGTTCACCTCCTCACAAACAGGTAAGGGGCAGAGCTGGGGTTCACACCTGATGTGCTGACTCCCTTTAACTGGGGACAAGGGAGGGGTGAGGAGGCAGCAGCCGAGGGGAGCCCCAGGAGAAACCAACTCACCCCCACTGGGTCCCCACAGAGCTGCTATGTCAGGACCCCAAGATGATGAAGCAGGAGGGAAACCCCCACATGGCCGACTGGAGCCTCTGGCCTCCTGCAAGTTCCCACAGGGACCGCGACGGGCAACAGTGTTGCTCCTTGTCGCTTAAGAAGGAAGCAGGGAAGCCCAGAACCACAGTCCAGGCTTCCTGGTCTGTGGTGCTGGTGGATGGAGATAGGACTGCAGAGAAGGTGGCTTGTCACGGGGGCTCTGAGGTGACCCAGCCTCATCACAGTGGCAATGGGCAGGGTCACACTGCTGGTTTTACCTGCTTGCTTCTCTTCACATGCGGAGTCTGCAACCGGCATACCTTCCTTCCTTGGCTCCCCATCACTGCTGGTCTGTGCAAAGCCCTATTTTGTTTGGCTCATTCATGGTCGACCAGCAGAATGCCAGACCTCGCTGGGAAGAGGAATGCAGGAACCGGGACCGTCTGGTTGGTGGGAGAGTGCGGGAGAGCAAGGCTGCTGCGCCCACACTGGTTAATGACCCGCAGGACAGTGAACCCTAACACCTGGGGCTATCTTGTCTATTGGAGTGAACAAAAATAGTCACATGAACCAGCTTTGTGCAAGTTAACCTCCAACTTGGCAGGAGTGCTAAATGGCGGCCTCCAAACAATTGTTAGTCACGGTTTCATTTACAAGATGACCCTCAGAAAGGACTTTAATGCTCTGCATGATTTCATAAGGAGGTACCGTTGAATGTTCTTATTTCTGAGTTTTGGGCTTTTCCCGAGCAATGCGGGCGCACCCCCTCTTCCCCACTCTCCCGGGGATGGACTTTGGGTAGCTCCCACTCGCTGCCACCCGAGCAACATCAGGGAGATGGACACCTGTGGCCGCGGTGAGTCTGGGGGCAGGGCGGAGGGCCGCTGGGGGGTCCTGTCCGCAGCACTCTGCACCCCCACCAGCTGGCACCGAGCCTCCTGTTGCCCTTGCGGAGGGTCCTTCTGTCTCAGCCTTCCCGTATCTTCTTCCTGTCGGGGGGCTGCCCCCCAAGTCTTGGTGGGACACACGTGGAAGCTGGCCAGAAGCGTGCGCGCCCTGGCGGGCACCGAAGCCCCAAACACCTGACCGCCAACCCTAACCACGAGCTGGGCTCAGGGGTACTTGGCGTCCTGAGTGCGGGACACCGTCATCATCAGTCCACACTGACGGAGGCGGTGTGTGTCGAGGGCTCCCCAGAGGAAAGCAGGGTCCGGGAGAGCTTGTCAGAAGGGGCGGAGCCTCACCAGCCAAAGCCGCGTTTGCGGGGGGGGGGGGGGGGGGGGGGCGGAGGCGCCACGACCGCTGCGTGATGAGCGCGCGCCGGGCCAGCGGGGTCGCAGCCACTTACCCTTCCGGCCTCCGTCTCTCCATCTGTGTGATGGGGACAGCCTCGCTGGACTGTGCTGATAAACGAGACGGTGGATTTCGGCGCTGACAGAGGGCCTGACCCACAGCCAGCCGCAGTTCGTCCCGTTATCACCGGCCCACCCCGCCTCCGGAGGTCCTGCAGCAGCAGACGCGGCTTCTCCAAGTGGTTCCCCCTGCTGGACAGGGGGCACGGTGGCACGGCTGTGACGCGGGCGGTGGGGGGGCTCGGGCCGGCAAGCAGGGAGTCTGCATTCACTGCTCCACTGGACCTCCGACCTGCCCTTGCCACCTGTCTCACACGGTGGGTGCTGACACCTGGGGGCTGGTCCAGGGCACCGCGGCAGACTCGCGGCATTCCTTGAGACTGCTGGCACCCAAGCCTCCCTCAGCTGTCTGGGGACTGCTCTGCCCCACAGGTGTTGGAAGGGGGAGCCAGCCTCTAGCTACAGATACCTGACAGTCCAGCTAGTCACCCTCCCAGACTCCCTTGCGGCCGGGGCCTAGACCGGTCAGGCGCAACGGCATCTTCAAGAGAAAACACCAGGGTTTGAACCCCAGGACTGTGCTGAGCCGAGGACAAGGCGGGGGGCGGGGGAGCTGATGAGGCAGGCCAGGGTCTGCACTCCACCGTGAGCCACCCCCAGTCCCTCCCCCTCTGACGGGGTCCCAGACCCATGGCCCCCAAGCTCATACCCCATCCTCACCAAGAGATCGGATTCTTCTCTTGGCAAAATGGGTTCCCCAAGACTTACTGATACTGGTATTTGGGGGCCTCCTCCAACGAAGGCTCTAGCAATGGGCGTGGGGACCACTGCTGTTTACAGATGTAGACACCGAGACTCGAGACTCGTGCGCCAGGAAGCCACAGGCTGAGATTAGAACCCTGGTCGGTCTGGCACTAAGCCAGTGCCTCCCTCGGGCCTCGTTCTGGCCTCTAAAGACAGCACTGGAGACACCTGCCGCTGGACCCCCAGGTGGGCTGGATGAAACCCATCTCCCACCACCTCCTCTCCAGGCTCAAGGGCCAGGAACGGGTGCCCAGGGCCCCCCATGCCATGGGGAGTCCGTGGGGGGCCGCTACACAGAACCTGGGACTCCGGTCGGCACCTCTCATCAACAACTTTATTACTCTCCAGATGCTGGTGAACTGTAGTCTCCACAGTGCTTCCCAGGAGCAGGCATCTCTGTCCATCACGTGCCTTCCCGGCCGCAGAGAGGGGCGACACCAAGGAGCCCACTAGCAGGGCCCGGTCCATCCTGTCACGACCATCACCCCTCCGCTCCCTCTCCCCCGCTGGGGAGGGGTCTCCTAGGGACAAGCTCCTGTCTCCTTCCTTCAGCCTCCTCTGGATCCAGGGCCCGCCTCGCTGCGCCCGGGGCCTCCGGCAGGTGGACAGGGAAGGGGGGCGCGGCTCGTGGACGCACCTGCTCGGAGTGGGAAGGTCCGGGAGCCGTGAGAACCGAAGAGGGAAGTGTGGCCCGGACGGAAAGGGCAGAGCAAACAGCAGGGTTCCGACTCAGGAGCCGGCGCTGTCCGAGGAGGAGGGCCG